GAAGGTGGGGAAAAGATAACTCGGCGGGGTAATTTTGCGGTCCGACCGCGAAGGTCAAAAGGTGTTTGCGTGTTTTACACAGGACGCAAAGATCTTGTCCATGCCGAAGTAAACGATTTTATTTATTGTTTATAATAGATTTTAATCTACATTTTAATTACTTCTCTTTCTTACTTTTCTCTCTCTCCGTACACATGCATTTACATTATACCGGAAGTGTCTCTAGCAACTAATGATTTACGATCGGCAGCGGCAAACACGACAACAATTATTTACGATTATATTAATGAGAAGGGGGAGAGACATTATATCGCGGCGTACATGTGTTTTGTGCGCGTCGATCGTTCGTTCTCGCTCGTTTGCGTGCGCGTAAATCAATCATAACGATATTGCATGTATCTAGTGTACAGCCATTATGTGGAACAGATTTTTTATCAATTTTTTTTTGGCTCATATTTTGTTGACAAAGTCGCACAATAATAAGTAGCTTTTCGGTAATCATCTCGCAGGTTAACGAAGCGCTGGAGGGTACCTTTAAACTACTGCCGCTTTATAAACTACACGTGCGCTAATATAATATACGCGTCCGTCTGTGCTCGCGATTTGATATACATCGACGAATTTGATATATAATCTAATCCTATGGGCGCACGAGGCGTTTCGGAGCGGGTGAAAGTTGTCCCAATCGATAAGTTCATACTGATTTCGTAATATACTCACCACCACCATCACCATCACCTAGAGCTAATAATCACAATGTTATTTTAAGCAGCTCGAGTATTATACGTCCACCTATATAGCCGATCTCGCATCCGCAAATCTAGCTAGCTATAACTCTAGCCGCGTCCGCGTGGCTATATAGCTTCTCTGCGCTCACACATGTAATGTGCTTTTGTGCGCCTCGTGCGCCGATCGCGAAATAATCCCGCGCGCGCGCGAGTTACATCGCATGTCAAACTGCATAGCGCGCGCGTACACATGTATATGTATCGAAAAGCGTGTGTGCATGCGTGAGCTATGATGTAGGTGTGTTGGTGTGTGTGTGTGCGTGTGCACCTCGTAACTCGTTACGTTTCCACCTTACTTTTTCTATGATTTGCGCGAGCCGCCGCCGCCGCCGCCGCCGCGAGACTTTCCTTGGAATGACTTTCCAGAATAATCGCCACAACATTACGCGCACGAGCTGCTGCTAGGCTAGCTAGCCGCACGAGTAGCAGCTCACTCGGACGCACATTCATAAGAGTAGTCCAACTGCATATAGCATAGAGTTCGGAATGATAATGACTTTTTTCGTTTCCAAGAATAGCATCGCAGCGGCGACGACGAAAAATTAATCGCTCTAGCCGCTCGTCGACGAACGACGAAATTTTTGTCAAACCGCTCTCTCGGTAACGTGTCGTCGACACGCTATATAGTCGTCGTATGGCATTAACTTTTCTCCTTTTTCCTTTTTTTTTTGCGCTTCTATACGGAATGAAAATATCCTCAAAAATTGGTTAGAGTCTCGTGCTGCGCGGCGTGTGATATACGTTGGCACGGACGCGCGCGTGGAAAGTTGCGAAATCTTACATAAATGCGTTATACGTGCGTTGTTGCTGCTGCTGCTGCGGTGGTGGTGGGCAGGTGCATGTGCTCGCGCGTGCGGACTGACCAGTGGTCGGGGGATCAAGATTCGTGAGAAAATGGAAAATCCAATATATGCGCGCGCGCGGACGAGACGATGGATAATTAGCCTACTCGGCTGCTGCGGCCGAATTATCATTAGCCATTATATCGAAGATAATAGATTTAGTGCGATAGACGTGAGCTGCTGTACGTCTATTAATGGGCGAGCGTAGCTTTGCGCGTAACTTTCTTTATTGTCAATTTCCTCGTTTCGGGGCCGGTTTCGCGTTTTCATTTCGATCGCTTGTATATACCTTGTAATGTATACACTTGTTATACGCGTGCTGTATACAATATCTTTATCAAGCACGATGAAACATCGTGTCGTACACGATCGAATATTTCCTAAACAATATAAACGTCAAAAGAGCAAAAAAAAAGTATTAAAAAAAAGTAAAGAAATACGATGTTCTAAACCGGTAGCAAGTATATAATATACGTTGTGTGTGTGTGTGGAAAAATCGTGTAGCCTGCTGTGTGACACTGAATATATTTTTCCATGGCGCTCGAACGCGTCAATGTTTTGATCGCGATGCAGCTACATATCGTGACGTTCGCGCGCGCTCGTAGTAGGTAGTAGTAGCACCAAAGCTGCAGCACAGAAAAGTTTTTCTGGCACCTCCGCTCATTTGTCAGGCGATAATTCAAACAATTTTTTTTGCGCACCCCGGCAATCAGCTACAGCAGCAGCAGCAGCGACGCGTGGTACACATGCTCGCGGACACTGCTTTTTTTTTACTTCGTCTTCTTTTCTTCATCATTATCGTCGTCGTCGTCGTCGTCCTCTTCAGGCATATTAAAGCGTCGTTAATTACGTTCGTATACGTAGCAGAATAACAGAATGGCACAAACAGATCGGGATCCGATCTTTATAACAAAACCAACGGAGTGTGCAATGATAAAAATGTCGTCTCGTGATGCTCTTCTTTTCTTGGACTTTTCCTCGGCGCGTGGGTGCGATATCGATATTAATAAACGCGTTTGTATGGCGCAATAAAAAGGACAAAAAAAAACTGAACTGGGGCAGACGCGACGACGATGTGCGCACGAGATATAGAAACGTTTATGCATTATATATATATTGAAGCGAAACGAAATGTGAACTAATTAATTCGTATTGAAAAGCTACTTAGCGTTACGTAAATCGGTACAAATCGGTACAAACATACATACGAGTATTATATATATAACCCACTCACGGTTTTCTAAGGATACCGCTGCGTCAGCGTTACGATCTCGAAGATCGATATATTAATAGTAAATAAATCGCGTCAATCGCGTCCATTGGAGCAAAAAAAAAAAAAAAACAAGAAATAAAATCTATCCAAAAGCTCCCTTTGTGCAATTGATATATTTTCAACTACTTGGCGTGCGAGTGGCCTCCTTTTTCCCGACTCACGCACGCACGCACGAGAAAAGAGAAGAGAAAAAAGGGAAAAAAGAGTAAGAGTGCAGCGCGCAGCTGGTTTCGCGATCAAGTGTGTTTGTGTGTCTGTGTGTGTGTTTCACTCGTGTCGTCGACTCGCCCGAAGGTGCTGCAGCAGCAGTGCGCACGCCTCAAAGCGCGACGCGCGCGCGTATACCTGACCTTGGCATGGTCCTTTATATATCATCGCTTTCAATCGAGCGAGAGAGAGAGACAGAACCGGTAGCTTGTGTGTATAATATATACACGGCGCGATTGAGGGTAACTGCCCGCCGCGTTTTCAGAAATCCTTTCTCGTGTGGGTGCGCACTTGTTTTTCTTCTCTTCTCGGCTCTGCGGTCGTCATCTTTTTTCATCTTTTTTGTTTTTTCTTAAATTTGTTTTCTTTCGCTTTACGAATGCCCACGTTTGTCCCAGACGTCGCGGCGATTCTCGTCGCCCGACTTCTTTCTCTCGGTCTGTCTCTCTGTCGTCGTTCCTCGCGAACTGTTAATTCCTCGAGACGTTCGCGTACAGAGAGGTACGATTCGGCGCTAATTGAGAAAGTTGAACAAACCCGCGGACTGTGACTCTTTTTCTGAACCCTGGTATAAAAATATACTCAACATTTTAAAGCTGTGAAGTGAATAAATGTTGCCGCTGCGGGGCCATAGAAAATATGCGACGTGATGATTGCAAGCGACTGTCTAATGGCTAAATGCGACCCAAGGTCAATCAAAAACGTAGACGCATTTTTTCGATATAAACTTATTTATTATGAAAGTAATTAAAACAAAAGGGATGATTCTCTTGAGAAGACTTGCGGGTTCAAAAAGCTCCGTGCTGGAGTGAGAAAAGCGATAGCGACGGCCAGATGCGATGCTTCGAAAAACTAACGGGTGACTGACAAATTTCACTCAAGAATAGCTACGAAGGACCAACGGCTAACACACTCTTTGGCGCTCTTTCGCTCTCCATTCTTTCTCTCGCTCCAGCTACCATGTCCCGAAGCTGCAGAACCGGGAAACATTAACTGCTGTACTGATTTTCGAAATCAAAACTCTTATATACTTATTTTGACTCCACCACTTGCAGATTTGCAGATAATCGAAGTAGTTAGAACCCATAACAATGATTGGGAACTGATTTTCGAAATCAAAACTCTTATATACTTATTTCGACTTCACCACTTGCAGATTTGCAGACAAAAGTGCTTGCCATCTAGCGGTGTAAGCTTGAAATGGTATTATCGTATTCGAAGTAGTTAAAAATCGATCAAAATTTGTTGAAAAAAATTGTCTCTTTTTCGGACAATGAGCCATTATTAAAGTTGAGCATTTATATCGGGAAATCGTTTAAATTATTTAAAACTTTGCATACACATTCTGTGATAGCGCGCGTGAACGGCACTCGCACTGCAGTCTATAATACACACATATACATATAAAATGCAACGAGCAAATCTCGCGCTCGCAGACTCCTTCCGCATTCGCGCGGCGCGCAAAGAATCGCCACTCATGCTAAGACGTCGTCGTCGTCGTCTGCGGACGCAAAGTCGGTCAGCGCAGGTGAGCGCGTCCTATTTAGCGATTATCGAAGCGAAGGAAAACGTGAGCCGCGAGCTGCTATACATACACGCGAAAGCACACACACATAACGTGCAGTTATGTATGTACGTATGCGCGTTAAAGTTTCCTTTCACCGAGGTGCGCACGCGAGAGCGCATCTTCCTGCGGCGCACGAGGTTCTATGGTTTTTTAGCTCGTACGCGCGCACCCAACATATACAGCTTTCGTTGTGAGATACAGTTCGAGTTCCTCGAGTCCAAGTGTGCGTGTGTGTGTATGGGTGTGAGAGAGAGGAAAATCATCGTGAAAGTCATCCGATGAACGCTTTTGTAATTTTTCGAACTTTTTCCTTCTTTTTACAGGTAGAATAGCAGTCATACTGTTCGGTCTTCTTGCCCTGACAATAGGCATCATACTTAGTAGCATACCATGGGTCGATTATGTCATTTTACGGGTAAGTAAACCATGGCCTGCTTACAAATAATTCGCACGATACGCGTATATGTGTGTGTGCTTTTCAAAATTTTTACCACGTCGGTGTGAAGATGAAGAAAAAAACCGTATTTTTGAAGCGCATACATATCGAGTGAAAGATATCGTATCGTAAACGTGTGAGAAAGTCGTGCAATTATTTGTCGCGCCCAAATAGAAGCGCGAATGTAATTTTATTCTTCATATTTATACGAATATTTGTGTGTTTTCTCAGCAATTGAGGTTGTGGAACGGCTCGCTTAGCTTTCAATATTGGCAGAAGCCCGGCGTCGTGCGCCTGACCAAAGTTTACATATTCAACGTGACGAACGCCGAGAATTTCCTGAACTTCCAGGAGAAGCCCAAGCTCCAGGAGGTCGGGCCCTTCATTTACAAGTGAGTAAACAGATTATATTTCATCGAGATTATACGAATAGAAAATCTCTCGTATCTCTATTGCCCGGCCTAATGGTGATGAATGTTCACGGAAAACCCGACGTTTATTATTCTCCTGGGCAAATTTATAGCCATCGACACTCCATTCAAAACGAATCGATAAAAATTTCACGACTCCGGAGTAGCTAGCTATCTAGCACACCTGTCCAGCGCGTGCAGCATCTCATTCGACTCCTGTCTAATAATAACAATATAATGATGAAAAGAATCGGTTATATTGTTGTGCTGCGCGCATCGCTACGAGGCTCGTTGTAAAATCGTAAAGTGATACACGAGAGCTGCGCGGCTAGATCCACTGCAGCAGCAGCAGCAGCGGTGGTGGCGCTTGGAAACGAGGAGCCGCGCTGCTGCAGGCCAGGCCAGGCAGAAAGGCACGTGTTATATCCTATTGGCGATTCAGGTCGATTTCTATATAAACCGCCTCGCAAATGCCGACGTCGTGCGCGTGTATATATATAATACAACGAAACGAGTCCGGGCCCATTCATCTCTCTCTTTCTTTCTCTATGCTCTCTGTGCATAAATACTGCGCTGAAGCGTATTCAAGTGCACATGCACGTATTTATAATATGTACATCAGGAAAGCGCGAAAATCGCACGTTTTTATTATTATATACTTTTCCTTTTCGTTGTTGTATTCATATTATAAATTGCACGCGCTCGAAGACGCGTCTAATGCTTTGTACGCGAGACGTTTTTTGGGTTGCTCGGTCGCGCGTACACGGCACGAGTTGATAATTTTCATTTATACACGGCTTACATATATGCTGCTTGCAACTGCGCCTACACACACACGTACATTAACGATAAAGTACAAAAGTGTTTCGACTTGAATAGGCGGCGCGTCTCGTTGTCGTGCCACAATGATGAGTTATATTGACACTCGAATGCGCGCGTCCGCGGGATTCTCCGAGCCGTTTCTCACACCAACGACTGCTACACGACGACGGCTACTGCTACTACAGCTGCACTCGTATACGTATATATAGCCGCGAGTGCGAAGTAAATTTTTCAAAATGTTTATACACAATGTGTAGCGAAGGCTAATTGAGTACTCGAGGCGCGAACGTGTGGGCTTTTGCGTTACACACGGGTTATTATTATTATATGTACTCGTGTTGTAGACGCTGCACATAATACAACGGCGCATTACACGCGTATAAGCTCGAGCTCTCAGTGTCAATGGCTTTCGTCGCTGCGCTTTTCAACGGCCGAGCACGCGTTGATCGTTGTCCCATATATAATACACTTCGCACGTACAGTACGCATTTGAATAATCTGAAATGCTTAACATTGATATCAAGAAAAAGGGAAAAAATAAAGTTCAATGAAATTGTAAATCGTACAACGACACCGAAATTCAAGTTCGACCGCGAGCGTGCACGTGAACGGCCGTAACCCCAGCTGCAGCTACATACCGATCGGTAGCCGGCCTCGAACGCGTTAAACTTCCCTGCGCACGCCGGCTCTGTATAGTACACACCATACTGTATGCAATGTGGAGTACCTTTCCCGATGATCGTCGTCTGTCCGCCCAAGGTGGCCTACGTGTACTTGAGCACGCGCGCACCTGCGAGCTCTATATGTATGCCGCGCGATCGACGACGATCGTCGCCGATTTTTTGCCGGCGAACCAGATATCTATAAATAATATATGTATATGTAAGAGGAAGCTGTGCCCGAGACGTGCACACGAGCACGCGTGCGTATAATGCCGGCTTTACGTGTTTACGAGGCGAGGTCGTTGATCCAAGGCTGTATAAGGACGTGAACCTGCACGGCCCTTCCTTGTATCATATGCGCTCGCTTTTCTTTTCTCCTCTCGGCGATCAGAGAGCTGCAAATATGCATCGAAACCTTCGGCGAAGACACGGGTCGATGTATGGGTAAATCGTTTCGACGAGATTATAATCGGAGCGATGTTGTTACCCATCGTGTTTGTGTATGTATACAAAACAGAATTGGATGTTGAAATTCCCAATCGCCGAACGTACGCTCGATACACACAGAGTATAAACACACGACTAGTCGCAGTAAGAATACTGAAATCGAGCACATCAGCAGTGTCGATTTTTATAATAATCTGTAACGCGAAAATCATGAGTCGCACCAAGGATAACTCGGCCGAGTTGGGTACAAAAGACCAGAAGGAAAAGTTGAAGAGCTTTATGCTCGAGGAGGTCGACGACTGCAACGTCATCGTCGACGTCTCAGATTCGCCGAAGACCAGCACGAGCCCCGAGGGGTCGCCTATCGTCGTAAGTAGAATCGAGCGAGATTCGTAACGTACATCATACCCTATCGATTTATTCGTCGTCTCTGCTCTCCTATAATTCGAAAGGTGGCGGAGGAGGATTATTATTATACAATGCTCGACTCACCAAAGGACGAAGAGGATCGGAGCTCGAACAACGACGACAAAGACGATGACGACCGCGACAAAGACGACGAATTGGAATCGGTTAGTAGTAGGCGCAGTATAGAGGCGCAGAGAGATCAGGCACGTGCCGTTCGGCGATTGAAAGCGTTCTTTCGATTCCAGGCAACACGAGCTCCGCCACCGAGGCGCGATGGAGCTGCGCTGTAACCGACTGCCCGGCGAGCTTCGCGCGCCAATTTTATCTCGATCGGCATCGAAGAACCAAGCACAGCGATGAAAATCGAGGAATGAGAAAAATATTCGAGTGTCAAATTTATAAGACGCTGAAACATATTTGTTATTTAATGATAATTTGTTTATGTTACTTTTTTTTAAATATAGTCTGTATTGAATCTTTCGAGTTTATTAATAAATCGATGCAAATATATCATAAAAATTTTTAATGAGATCGTTAATGTGCAGCGCGTTATTGTTTTATCGGAAAGCAGCTCGAATGTCGATGAACTTTACAACGTACTAGCGACAGCTTCGACAACAGTACATAAATCGTCGCTCGCGTATTGTATGTTTACTCACAATATACAACTCCTCGCAGCTTCCTCTTTCTCTCGCGATCGTTTCTCGCGCATGTAATACATCTTTATTTACGATTCGTTACGAATTGCGGAAATTACTCGAAAGCGCATTTTTTTATCGACAACCCCCCTTGTAATGTAATAACATTGCCAACGAACTCTCTCGCGGCAGTGACTACAGCAAAATGACATCATAAAATAATTGAATAATTAATTGCCAGTGCCGATATACGTATACGAGTGTACGCCGCGCGATTGTCGAATATCGAATCGTCTTGGATAGAGAGAGAGATCAATCAAAAAACGACGATCGTCAAACGCGCACGCGTAGGGGTATACTGTTGCGCAATTGCGAGCGCAATAATCGTTAAATCAGACGCACGAGCATTAATTTTCCGACGAAAGAAAAAAAAAGATGTAGTTTTTGCCCAAAGATGCAATCGTATAGTCGAATAGTCGTCAAAGGTGTGAAAAGAGCGCGTAATGACGATCTCGATCGAACGAAGAAAAAAAAAGGAAGAATATGACGAAAACTGAGAAGAAGAAACGAAGCCGTTATCTTTCTAGTATTTTCTCGCTCGATTCTCTACAATCGCACTTGACCACTGTGCGCTTTTTTTATGCCTTAGTCATCTCGCACATAAGAAGATGTGTTTTGTCCTACTGCTAATCAAACAAAGAAGTTGTCAATTATCAAGGGTAATTAATTTTCCAGAAGAAAGCACTAATATACAGAGTGCATCGAAAAAAACGTTCTAATTCTTTTATCAGAGTCATGCAGAACAGACTTTCCGAGAAATTGCTCTTCTCGGCTGTTATTATTGCGAAAATTAAAAGAGAACATAATGCGCGCATGCGACGATTGCGAGGCAAACTTGTGCCCGTTGCTGGTATACAGTATATCGTTATACGTTATACATTATACTTTGACAGGGATCGCAGCTAGCAAGGTGACATTGAACTCTCGCTTCAAGCTGTGTACACGTGTCCAGTGCAGCGCAGCACGGGAACGTTGACTGCTCGGTACCCGATTTTTTTTCTTCCTTCTTCTTTCTTTCTTGTACTCGCATTGAACTTGGCGAGTGTCAAATTTAAATGGACTTTTTAATTTTTTTTAATCGGCGGTGGAAGAAAACAGAAAACGCGAAGGTGTACTTACAGAAAATTTCCGTCCTTACACTGATATTCGATCCTTGAGACAAAGAGCTTTTTTTACCAAAAGGCTCATTATTCGCATTTTTCAAACAAAAATGTATGCAATTAGTTAAATGAATTTAATAATGTATAAAATACAGATTTTCAAACAAAAATGTGTACATAACGCGCACGAAAAACACTCGACGTAACTTTTTTAATCTGTAGTTTTTCGAGCCGTCTCAATTACATCCAGAAATTATCACCTGCCGCTATCCGGAATGTTTTAAACGATCTCTCTCGAAAAACTCCATCGTACGCGATGGCGCTAATTTACATTGCAACAAAATCCGAAACAAGTCGCAGAGACACGCGGCACGATCGTTAGAATTGTCACTATGAGCGAGATACTCTCGTTGTCCTTCGCGTCGCAATTGATTTCCGAAACACGACAAAAAAAAAATTATGAATTACGGCGAAAAGGCATCATCATCGTGTCGTAGTCGTCGTCGTCGTCGTCGTCGCGAGAATTCGAAAAATCATATACGTCGCGTCGTTATTGCTTTCACGAATAACACAATTAAACACGCATTACACATGTGCTCGCGATAATGACAATTTTTTCCTTCACCTTTAGACGCACACATATACACACATACACACGTGTATGTATACACGCACACGCGTGGCGCCACAAAAACGGAATTATCGTAAAAATTGACCGACGTAATAACGCACATCGAGACACGAGGAACGTCTCTTTAACCAGAACGGAGGAGAAAAAAATTGTCGTTTCTCGATCGCGCGCGTATCAAAATCGTCGGTATACACACATGCCTATAACACGCGTCACGCATACAGATATTATGTCTACGACGATCGGTAAACGCAGGCGATCGCAGCAGCAGCAGCAGCAGCAAAAAAAAAGAAGTTAAAAAACATAATCGCGCAAAACTCAAGCGCGTACATATCTTTTCTATTCGTCTTTCGCAAAACGTATATTCAAATAAATAGGTCGTGGTCTATCCATCGTAAAACTTACTATTCATGTGTGTGTGTGCTATGACCATAGACACGACGACGACTACGACTGACGGACGGACGGGTGCAGACATACGGACGCACACGTGTGCACATGCATACATATACGTATAGGCGCTGCTGCACTTTCGCATCCGAGAGCGCGAACTTTCATAATATTATGGGTAATATGGCATAATATACTGCGCGGCATACGGCGGCTACTCGCGGCGCACAGTCGTCCTTTATGTAATCGCTTTGAAATATTTATACTAATAATGACGGGGCAATGAATATGCGACTGCTATACCACTACTACTACTAGACGAGCGCGTCGAGTGGGCTACGACTTTTTTTCGGACTCCTTTACCAACTCGAGATACGCGAGAGCCGCCGCTGCTTGGCCTATAATATACATCTATTAAATAATATTTTATTTATCGATCGGAAAGCACACCCTAGAGGCGACACGAAAAATTTTCGTATAACGCATAAATGCATCTTATACAACTTGTGTTTTAGTATTCAGCAGGCCACGTGGTATCCTCGGCGTATATAATACGTCGTCGTCGTCGTCTCTCTGTTTTTTCCGCACGGGCCCATAATATTCAACCTTCTTTTTTTTCTCTTTCTCTCTTGTACCCGGGCAAAGCGCGCGCAATTGACCAACTCGTAAATAATCGTCGACCGCGCGGCTTTTGCAATCGAGAAAAATAATGGCCGATAATGTATTCGTACGAGAGGGGAATAAAGAGCGGCTGGCGATAAAATATAGAGAGAAACGAGGAAAAAATGTAATACTTTTCGCTTTGATTTGGAAAAATTGATATATTTACTATTTTATTACTATTTCTTTTTGCAGGGAAGACATGGAGAAAGTCAACATTGTCTTCCACGATAATGGAACAGTCACGTATCAACACAAGAAGATCCTACAGTTCATGCCAGAAATGTCGAAGGATAGCGATCTTCAAGTACTCGTACCAAATATTCCATTACTCGTGAGTATTATTTCGTGAACGATTTCCTCTTATGCTATATACTCGTGATACCAAGGAGTACGATCTATTGATAGACAATTTTTTTTCTCTCTCTCTCTCGCTTTATAACGATAATAATTACTCGACTTTTTGTCATCGTATACCGCCTCGTTGTTTGCGACTTATATACATGTGCACATAGACGCGGCGTCATAGATCAATCAAATAATTGTTTGCGCGTGCTTTTGCAGACACTATCGACGCAGAGCAAAAGTCTGCCGCGTCTACTGACGATGGGCCTGTCCATGTTTCTCAGCGGCATGGACATGAAGCCCTTCGTGCCCGTCACGGCCCAAGAGCTCGTCTTCGGCTACGACGATCCACTAGTCAGCATCGCCTATCGCTTCTTCCCCAAGACTCGACGCCCCATGAGTCAGATGGGCCTATTACTTGGTGTGAGTGTTTGGAACACAATGACATTTGTTGTAAGAGGGAATGTAGGAAAATTGAATGATAATTTTTGAACGACATTACAGAGAAACGGAACGCTGGAGGAAGTCTCGACGATTTACACCGGACACACCGACATGAAGGAGTTCGGCCTGATAAATCGACTCAACGGATTGGATCGTTTGCCGTACTGGCCCGACGCGCCGTGCAACTCGATCAGAGCCTCGGAAGGTAAGAGGAAAAAAGCAAATATCATACAAATAATTATTTTTAAATAAGAGAAGGAAAATCCGCTTGGAATACGTGATCGTTTCATAGGACCACGCGCGCGGGCGCAACGAACTCGTAAAAAGTGGCATACGTGCCGAATAAAAACCACAAGCAGGCCCGCGTGCATGCAGCTTGAATTTTTAAAATTTTCATACGCAAAAAGAAATTAACTTCGCATTATATAGTCATACAATATCGCGCATTGTAAGCGAGCGAACGAAAAACAAAAATTAATTCTTTTATTTTTTTATTCGCAGGATCGTTCTTTCCTCCACGTGACAAAACGAACGAGGACATCGTGAACGTCTGGGACAAGGACCTGTGCCGCGTGCTGCCGCTCAAGTATCGCGGCCCGAGCTCCAAGACGGGCATCAGGGCCGACCTGTACACGCCCGCGGACACGGTGTTCGATCCGCCGAGCGAGGAGACGCCCGACAACGAGTGCTTCTGCCCGGATGATCCGGGCAGCTGTCCGCCCCGCGGACTCCAAAATATCAGCCCCTGCCAGTACAGTACGTATATCATCATCATCATTGATCGTATTATCGTCGCGAGGTATATCTTCGATGTCGTTACGTAAAAGGTAGTTTTGAAAGATGTGTTACGAAAATTTTTTAATACCCGTTCATCCGGTTTTCCTGAAATCGACGACTAATTCGTTGTACGACTTATTTTTCTTTTGTACGAAATTTTCGATGCACGCGCCGATCGAAAACCGCACTTAATAATAATTTCTCGCAAAAATTTCGCGAAAACGACGTGGCTTCTTTTCACTGTATATAGAATACATTATTATTAATGGAATTGAAGCCGGTCGACGAAGGATTGGCGCGACTTGCGGTTTTGTGGTCTCGAAATAGCACCGAGAGTCTCTCGACGTGGATGCAGCACTCAATATGCTTTTAAATAAGTAATTTGCTTTTTTTTCTCTATCATACGCTTTTTCCAGGTGCCCCCGTGTATCTATCCTTTCCCCATTTCTACAAAGCGGATCCAAAGCTCCTGGACGCGGTGGACGGCCTCAAACCGGAGCCGGAGCTGCACGAAACGTACTTCAAAATCCAGCCGGTAAATATACTCGACTTGCATCACGATAAATAGAATAAAAAAAAAACAATGTACTAACGAGCGCGACTTTGTTATACCCGTTACTAGAAACTGGGAGTGCCGGTCGAGGGCAAGGTGCGCGTCCAGCTGAATCTCAAGGTCGAGCACCAGCCGGACATCAGCGCCGTGGCCAACTTCTCGGACATCGTGTTCCCGATCATGTGGCTGGAGGAGGGCATCGACGAGCTCACGCCGCCGATCAGGCGCTGGGTGTACCTGGCGACGACGTTCGCCGACATCGCCGTGCCCTGCATCACCTACGGCCTCATTCTAGTCGGCCTGGCCAGCATCGTGTTCGTCGTCTACAAGGCCTACAGCAACGTCGTGCTGGCGCACGAGGCCATCGAGCTCGGCAAGCGCACGATACGCCGCGGCTCCTCGTTCATCGTCAACGGCCAGCACAGGCTCATGATGACCCGCGACTCGTACGTGCTGCTGCAGACCGAGGACCCCGAGGACGAGGACAAGCGCCGGGCGCTCAAGGCCTTCATGAAGGTCGAGCCGGCCTACAACTATTGATCCTCGTCTTCTTGGAAATATCCTCTCATCNCCGCCCCCCCCCCCCCTCCCTCCCTCTTAATCGACGATGTGATAATACATAAGCAGCTGATGTTAGTCCCAGTGCGTCGATTATTACGTTGTTGTTTGTTGTTGTTCCTGCATTGAAAGATATATAATGCCGAGCTAATGATACAAGAGGGACGTGTTGTTTTTTTGTGCGCGACGAGATCAACCAGGACAATTTTTTAGTAATTTTAACGTTTTATATATATACGATACGTAATATTTATCGCAATACTTATATGATGTTAATTAACGATGTACATTTGTACGAGTAAGAAAGAAAAAAAAATTGTTGTTTTTTTTTTTCAAGTGCCGAGAAATCACACGGACATCAGTTCAGTTCGTTGATTTTTCACTTAATGCATAATTTTTAATCGTTAGACGTGTAACTTATAACATGTAATTGTACGCGACGAATCTCAAATGTAAAGCTCGATGAGAAGCAAAAAAATTTTTGTGGTGCGGGAAAGAGGCGCGTTTATTTTTGTCGAACGCTATCTTTTACCTACACACGGTCCATAAAATAGTCACAGTGGTAAAAGAAAATTAATGTGTCTTAATTTTAACGTTATAATTGTTTAATTTTATCACTGCATTCCCTTATTATTACGATAATTGTGTAATTATTATTGATAAAATTGACTATATTAATAATGACATTATTTTTGTACCTTGTATCGATACCTCCGACGTGAGAGCATCGTCGTTGGTCTTGAAGCAAATATTTTCCACTAATCGTAAGTCAAATTAGTTAATCTGAAAATATGTAAACTGAAGTGTGTACATTTGTTAGTAATGTAAGAGCTAATGATTGGCCAACTGAAAAAAATTGATTTGTTTGACTAGTGATAACTTTTTTGAATATGTGCTTGCTCTACTCGATGCGAATTTTTTGCCCGAAATTTTTTTTCCTTGTAAAAATTATTCATTTCAAATGAATTGCACAATTGCTTACGAACTTTCTTTTCGGATGATTTCGAATGTCAATAGTGTGTTTTACAAGGAATAAGAATATATGGTACGTTGAGTTTGATAGATTTTTTTCGATGATTTCTCAACTTAATAATCCAAAAGTTTGCATGAAGTGCTTATCTTCATATTAAGTAAAACGATTTCTGTTTCAACAACAGAATTTAAGCCTGTGCAAAAATATTACTAGTGAATTATTATTAACTTTAAGTAATCTAAACATGTTAATCTTTGGGGTGAATGCGTTATCTTAAGTAGATAAAAAAAAAGAAAACCATATTTACCGTTCTTTTAGAGGAAAAATAATTTTAAAAAATTGCTATGGCTGTGGAAATTCAAACAAGAAATAAAAAATAAAAAAATAAAGAAACTAAAAGATTCAGTTCTCGCGTTGTTAGGCTAGTGCCATTTTAAGCTTGGTGTTGCATCGCGAAAGTGAATTATTTTTAACAACGATGTTTTTCCTCCATTCTTAAACCCAATTTCATTAACAGAGTGATTGTAGCATAAAATCTTACACTTTTTGGCTGACGTATTCGATTATGCAATATTTGATTGCCTGAAAATTTATTTTTAGACATTTTTGTTTCTGATTGATTTGACAATTTTGGCGAATGACAAATAAACGATTTTATTCTATCATCACTAATTTTAAACTTTGTTTTTTTATGAAGGTGCTTTCATGTGATTGTTTGAAAAAAAATTAGTTGTAGCATCATTTTTTTATGAGTACGCTTATGGGTTTAATGTATTTTGTTTTTGCATTATATTACCACAACAAAATCAACAAATGGAGTAATGAAAGTTATTCGAAAAAAATTTTTTACTTAAAAACATTCCAATTTTTTTTATTGAAAACAGATCGCACGGAGAAATTTGATCGAAAGATTGAGTTTTATGAACATGTATAGATAAAGTAATTGTAAGTTCTTTATAAAAAAAATTACTCGGTTCTTCGATTTATAAATAATGTACATTCCTTGTGAATTATATAAATATGTATTTTATAAATAATAATAATTAATCATGACGATAAATTATCAATGAATTTTACTGAAAATACAATTTTCACAAAAAAAAACAATCTAAATTTTTTACACTTTTTAACGTTGTTATTTGATGCGTCACTTGTTATTACACGTAACTATGTATTAGAATTGTACAGAAAAAATACATCATGTAGAAAGAATTGACAGACTTTTTATTGGTATTATTTAAATTATCTAATCGGTTTTTTCTGATACCAAGTGTTCTTATTTTCTGTCAGTGAATAAACAAAATTGGGTTAAATGATGAAAGATTTTTTTATTTTACTTTTCAGTCATAAAAAGTTATTATTCAACTTTTTGGTAGTAGTATAAAATATGAATAAAATTGACTATAGCGGGCATGCTCATTCCCAATGCGGATTTTTTGCTCAAATAATATTTCTATTCTCTGTCGACGACGCATTGACCAGCAAAGCACATCTATTTAAAACATTATAAAAAATAAATTTACCAAATTTTTCCAAAATGTTGCACAAAAACCTTTACTTCGACTCACCATATTATCGCCACAACTTGTACCATCTAATGGAGGAAGAGGCATATCACGGTTTGACACATAATTATCAGACCCAATCCATGAACATGGCTGCATGTAACATTGTTCGTGCCGATTATTTTCGTTCTAAAATTAAAAAAAATTATTATGTCGATCGAATTGAATCCAATAACAACGATTACATAAATGAAAAATGGCTTACCACTGAAGCAACATAATTTAAATTGCCGTAACCATTGTGAACTTTGCACTGCTCGTCTCGAGTTGTAAAACTGCCACGCAAAACTCGCGGGTATGGCCTACCGACGAAAGGTATGTTTCGTAAACAACCCGAACTTGGCGACCTGCGGTTAAATTTTTTAAATTAAAGTATTCATAAATCTACAATCTGAAATGATGCAATTTTTCATTCTAAATACCTGAAAAAATTTCTCATGTCACGTATACTGCATTCGGACCATGTGAAAGCATTTTTGCCTCTATTTCCACTCATTACATGTCCAGCACTGGAATCGCATGATTCTGCGGTTTCATCCCCATCGTGGTATGCTCCGAATCTTTCAAAAAGATAAACTAGTCAGACATTTCATAAGCACTGTGAGTAGTTATTTTTTATGATTATTTCTTTACAGATGTCCAAGCTCGTGAGCGGTACCAGCGGCAATCCAATAATCGTTTTCGCCCTTTGCTTTGTGAGTCATGATAGCAACTGATAGAGTCTCGCTGCAAGCCTGTCCTACATAAGCCCAACCGTAGGCATCCTTCATATCTTTACTGCAATAATACATTATCATTAATGAAATTATTCAAGTTATTCCTTGGAAAAAATGCGCTAAACTCACTTCGTCAAAAGTACAACAATATCATAAGAATCCCGACGAATTCCATAGACGCCATACCGATTTAAAAAATATTCACCAGCTTGACGCATTGCATCGAAGGGTTTACTAGCTTCGAGATCGTCTTTTAGATTATATGTCAAATAAGGTACAGCATCGCGGTCCTTTGAGAATAATGTATAAGTGATCATTTATACAATTTTTTATTTAATATTAAAAAGTCTTATGAATTTGTACTTACCATTGGAATAACAAGACCAGCTAGATTAAGTCGCACTTGTGGACTTTTGAGAGTTCGAAAACGTATGTCAACATTATTAAAAAGTCCTGCTATTGACTGGGTAATTTTGTGGACATCTTTACCATATGCTCTGAACAAATAATTAAAATAAGAAATAAAATTATAGTAATCAGTGTATTCTTTTAAAAATTAATTTAATTCATACTCGTAATTATCATAATCTAAGATGGCTAGTATTTGAGGATACACAACATCTCCACCCAAGTTCGACTGTCCATAATCTACAAAATTTAAATATAAATATAATCATTCACATATTTCAAATTGATTTTCACTCTATTTGAAAAACTTACCATTTGAAAACTGATTATTATTTGGCGTTTTAGTTTTTGGTTGCGGCTATAGTTTGAAAAATTCAAAATTTTATCATGTTTGATTAGATTTTATTATAGTAATAAATAACAAAAATTTTTACGTAAAGGTAATTGTCGTATGTTATTCCACCATAACCATTTGATCTCGCGATGTATAACATACTGTTAGATCCTAACAACACTCGATCTAGCATGGGTTCGTTCAAATAAGTAGTGTAATTAAAAAATTCTCGTTCGTTATCCATCGATCCTTGTTGAGAATACGAAGTATAAGCATCGTCTACTTTATCGATTTCTTTCAGAAATAATCAATAAAAACATAATTATTGGTCTATGTCAACAATACTTATAATTATGATATTTTTCTTACCATTATAAATTTCATTCAATTCCATTTGTTCTTCTTTCGTCCCACATTTTGGTAACTAAAAATTATTATTTTAATTTTCAACATAGATCTTTAAAAAAGTGAAATTGATCAATTACCTCTTGACCCTGTATCGATATGATACTTATGCAGACAAAAAATAATTTGAAAATTCGCGACATGTTACTCGACACGTAAAATTCAATTTTGATACTGTTTCTAAAGTATCATGAACTGACTAAAATTTCTGCGTATATTCGCATAATATATCTTTTCAGAACAATAAAAACTGATAAAAATTTTAGAATGACACATTTATTGACTAATAGTTATTTACAAATCATTTGATAGTCATCATGGATTGTTTTATCGCTGTAAATATCTAAAATTGTCTTTTCGCCATCTTAACTCAGTAAACATGATTGATTTTTAATAATATAATCTCAGCATACGCAAATTTTCAAGTTTTTTTTCCTCTTCACAGCATAGCTATTGTTTATAATACAAACTCACGTTGTGTTACTGTTACGAACATATGTATTTTGATCTTTTTTTGTATTTATAAATGTTTCGGACCATTTCTTTACTTTATTTGTGATTAAGCAATGTTGAAACTTCAAAAATAACTTGATTCAAAACATTAACTTTTCTTTATGTAAGAGCAGTATAATTAAATTTGTCATGTAATATAATGTTAATAATCTTAGTAGGTAAAATAAGTGCGAGTGCGTTTCTTTATTCTTACAGGGTACATAAATCATTGCATGCAGGTATATCGAAGGTTATGGAATTTCGATCGATTTCAGTCGTAAACAGAATCTGAATTTTTACAAATTTAAATAATAAAAAATAATAAATAGTTCCATGACACAGCTTGACACATTACCAAAAGCCTCCTCCTGAGGGTTGTACATACCTCCAGCAACGATCCAACCGAGTCGAATTTTTTGCAAAATTAAATTGCCGTCCCTGTCGTTCAAACTAATTTGACCTATAGACATAATTGCTATAATCAGTTTTTTTAAACGCGTTAAAATTTTACAAAAAAACGAAGAAATGTACTTACTTTATCTTCGTGTAGTCTTTCTCGCACTGTTTTAAACTACTACACCCATGACACTCGTTTCATTGATACCGACCACAATCAATGCATAATCGCATTTATTAGATCGTAGAAAAAGAAATCTCCGGACTTAGATAATCGCCGCCGGGTCGCTGATTACAACTTAAAATAAACTAAAAATGGAGATTGAAATCGATAATTGGAAAAATCAGTTTGTCACCGAGGCTGACGAAAAAGAACATTATAAATGTTATAAATACCGACTTATCGCCAAAATCAAAGCAGGTAGTAGCATTAAATACTATGTACTGCTTGAAGATGTCTTAGATATCATTCAAGCCGCGCATTTTACGACCGGACGTGGTGGGCGCGATAGGCTTTGGAAAGAAACATCGATCAAGTATTCCAACTTTACAAGCGAATTGATTGAGTTATACTTCAAAATGAGTGAAGTCTGTCACCAGAAAAAAATAAAGAGAAGGAGGGGGCTGGTATCCAAACAAATTTTGCATTCAGAAATGAATAGTAGATTCCAGGTGGACTTTATTGACTTTCAATCATCAAGTATCGTTGGGTTTAAGTGGATAATGGTATACCAGGACCATTTGACGAAATTTATAGTGAATGCATTAAAAACAAAACTTTTGTATTCAAATAAATGCGTATTTTTTCACTTTACATTAATTTTTTACTTAAAATTATTAGCTCATAGTAATGCCTAAAATTGTTAAGGCATTGCAGGTTTTACCTAAAAAATTGTAGGCATTGCCCGCAATGCTATGTATGTCCTATTTGCGATTTTGATAAAGAAGCGCAGTTAATAATCAAGTCAGAAGCTTTGCCAACAAAAAAGGTAAATCGGTACCAATTAGTATATGATACTATTTTGAATTGGAAAGAGAAGAATAAGGCAAATTCTTTTGAAGAGAAAATTTTAATTTGCTACTTCAAAGATTTGCAAAAATAAGTATGTCCTGCGACTACGTGGAGCGTATGGTCTATTTTGAAAAAAATGCTCGTTACGAAAAATGAAGTAGATATAAGTAAATACCTAGTTCTTGAAGGCATTCTCAAAAATAATTCTAAAGGATATATAAAGCCCAAGAAATCTTTAACTTTAAATTGGGATGGCACTCAGATTCTGTTGCTTCTGGGTATATCGCCGAATCAATAAGATCTAAAAATTTAATTTTTGAAGGAATAGAACGTAATGATACTGATAATGCACAGCTATCTAAAAGTAATCATAGTCTATCTGACTCAACGGAATCATTAGGTCAAGAATTTGTTCATACGGACTTTCTTAAAATTTTTTCAACAGCTAGCAATAAAAAAATACCTGTTTTGTCCCGAAATACGACTATAAATTTTATAGTAAAACTGCCAATTAAAATCACGTTTAAAAAACCAGCAACAATTGCTTCTAATAAGTCATCTTTTATTTCGTCACTCGCTGATGTCTCTTATGGAGAATTAATAAAAAAAACATGTGATATTCAGCTCAATATAATTCAAAAGATATATTCCGTAGCGCCACTCTGATCATTTCATCAAACCATCATAACGCTTATTATAAACTATGGGCATTTTTTGCTCATGCAAATACTGTATGTACTCATCAAAAATCACCAAAAAATTAACATTGATGTATTAACTTTTTTTGGGTATAGATTTTTTGTTGATCCTCTAAATTGAGAAAGTTCCTTAGAGAATTATAATGAAATGTAAAAAGATTCGGGAAAATTTTGAAGTGGAAATCCAAAATACACGAATATTATTTTCGTGAAAATTATCATACTACACTTTTATCGGCTGAACTAAGTGCACTGTTGCAATCAGTATATTCTTATCAATAATACAACATACTCTGCTATTAAAATACTCCTCCCAATATTGTTATAAATATTAAATTATAACAATAATTTTTGGCCCACTAAATTATAATTTGACAAAAGATAAGATTTCAGACTGAGATAATTAAAAATACCTGTTCTCATCATTGGTGGTTTTATTCGTAATAAGTAATTGAGACAGACTAATTCACTAAAAAAATTCAATATATTCATTCAAAATAATAAATTCAAATCGTGATAAATTATAATTTTTTGCCGTTTTTCTTCATCATTTATTCAAATTTGAACAAAACAAAATCACAATAAGTAAATCACAATTAGAATTCGTACATTTATTTTGTTAAAATATTATTATTGCACTATATGTGCGGTAGATTATTGTAGAAAAAACATTTTAACGAGTGCGCGAAATTTAAAAAAAAAAATTGATAATTAATGCAGATACACGGTCATATTTTACGAAAATAAAACTAGTGTAGTAAGAAATAGTGTCGTAGCTCAATTTGAAAATGACCGCCCAAACATACTGGTCATGACGTGTGCAGTGCTGCATTTCACTTTTCCACTCTTGGCGTCATTAAGAAATGGTTCTCCAATATCAGCGTCTGATTACTTTCATAAAAATCTAACGGACTCATTAGCCTGAGTGATATCTTAGCCGTGGGAAGACTAGTTCCTCGTGAAGCATCTGTTGATTCTTCTGTTATTAAATATTTGGATTTCGGCAGTGCATCCTCTTTAGAGTAAGTTTTTCTACTTTTATGTAACAGTACTTAATATGATAATATTATTATTTTGAACTGCACCGTGAATTCAATGACCGATCATTGCATCATCACATGTGTAGTGATAACGGCCTCGAACATTGCTGCAATACATAACGTGGCTTCTTTGTGTGAAGTTTTATTTTTAACGAAAAAAATCCACAAAATTTAGAGCAAGTTTTTTTTAATTTTTACACCGAATAGGGCGATTGAAAGTTTTTAATCTTAAAATTATTTTTTCCTTCATTTAACGAATTTTATTTATATTACTAAGTATGCACAGTTTTTATTTAGGTTAAAGTGTATAGAAAATTAATCTTCATGTTTTTTTGAAAGTGAACATTGCATTTGAGTTACTTTTACCTAAAGAAAACACAAAATAATAGCGATTTTTATAAGATCTTAAAATTTTAAATTTTGACATATTCTTAAAAATCGTACCAACAATGACTGCCTTTCATGACGTCAAGATTACACTGACAGTCTGTGAGACGGTTGACACGAGGTTTAAATAACTTGCATCAACCAATATCTCCATTGCAAACTGTCAATTATTAAACGTTTCATTAATTTTCCGGCCTCTAAATTATTTTCCAAATGAGTGACTGACTAAATTTTAGTTTATTAATATATATTTAGAAAAAAATAATAACAACGAAAATTATTTTTGTACGTACCCATTCGTGAATAATATTTTAATATTAAATTAGTATTCTACAAATAAAAAATGAATAGTTATTATTCTTATTGCCAGTAGATTAAAACAACAAGAACAACAACAACAACAACAACAACAACAACAAAATAGACAAAAATCAATTTCCCAGATGAGTCGGTGTTTTCTATCAATGACTATTTTATTAATCTTACATATAATTCGTAACAAATTCATAATATTCTGTTTTTTTATGTTACTCTTTTTCTTATTACTTGTATTACGGACTACTACTTCTGCATCATCACTTTCCCTATGTAATGGCATCAGATAAAAGGATATAGGAATTAATTGATTTTAATGTACCGTTTACTTTCTCAATCCCTTTCATTATCGTAACTTAATGAATAAAAAAATCTTGATCTTACCCTGATGGATCGGAAGCCGGGATATAATATAATGATTATCTCATACAATTAGTACATACCAATTCAATCTTTTATCACATTTAATTTTATCTTTTTTAGAAGTTTAGTCGTCGGTATATAAAGATCACTTAACTGGTACACTTCATTTTATTACATTCGAGTACGTTGGAGCCAACAGATCGTCTTTAATCGGACACAGAATTAAAAATTTTATAAATTTTCATAGATGTTAAAACAGTGTTAAAAATGGACATTTTCATAGGCTTTTTAATATTTTGTGCATTATTTTACAATGATAACGTCCTTGCTTACAGAATCATGCAAGACACCGTTGCGTTGGAAGATTTTGAAGTTGAGCTCGTGCAAGTTGTGAGTATAATTAAAAGCATTATGAAACACTTTATTTCGAGATATTTTTTTCTAATTTTTCGTTGCTTCTTAATAGTTATTTAGACACGGCGACCGAGTTCCAGACACATTTGAGCGATATCCGAATGACCCATATGATGAAAAATATTTTAAACCAGTGGGCTATGGTCAACTTACGAAGGTAAAATGAACATTTTAAATAATTGTACAAAAGAAAATAAAATCAAAATAATTTAGAATACTTATTTTACGTGTTTTGAAAATACTGATATTGCGGAAAAAATGAGTTATCTGTAGAAGCAATAAAACAATAACTACAAGTATCAGATAGTCTTTCAGTTTATCTAAAAAAAACAATGATTTTTCATAGATTATTTGTTTTTTTCTAACATATTTAAAAAATTTTTGATTATGGTAAAAGTAAAAATGATTTTAATTTAAATCGTTGATTGACTTGCAGCGAGGTATGAAACGACTATACGATACAGGAAAAATGCTTAGAGAGCGATATGATAAGTTTCTTGGGCATTACAAGCCTCAAGAAGTTTATGCATTCAGTACGGACGTTGATCGCACAAAAATTTCGTTGCAATTGCTTTTGGCTGGGTTATATCCCCCGACAGAGGAATCAATGTGGAATAAGGATCTTCCATGGCAGCCGATTCCAATACATTATAAGCCAAAGGGTGAAAATTTCCTTTACGTTGATTGGTCGTGTCCAACGTAAGTATGAATATCTGCCATTAAAGTAAGTCACTTTCTAACACAATCATTTATTTTGATATTTAAATTTTTTTAGCTTCGAGAGGTTGTATAAAGATGCTCAAATGCATCCTGAAGTCAACAACATGATGCAACAAAATCATGACGTACTGGAATTCGTAAAAGATATTACAAAGATGAAATTTGAAAGGGGAGCTTTGAGTGTATTGTCCATAACTGCAAATTTGCAGTCTGCAGTAAGTATTTCTTTACGTTTACTTCGAAATTTCATCAAATTCAAATTGTTAATCAAACCAAATTTATCTTTAGTTGGCCTTGGGTCTGCCATTACCCAGCTGGTGTTCCGAGGAAACTTTCAAAATTCTAGAAGAAGTCTCTGCGGTTGGCTTCAAGTCACTGGCAATTACTGATCCTTTAGCAAAAATTGTCGTTGGCCCAACTGCTCAAGTTTTACAAGATAATATGCAACGCAACGAGGATAAAAAAGACAGTAGGAAGATTTACTTGTACAGCGCTCACGATTCTACCGTGATGCCATTCCTCACCGGATTGAAGATAAAAAACGCCCCTCAACTCGCCGAGTACGGTTCCGCGGTCATAACTGAAAAATTGCGAGACAAAGAAGGAAAATCTTTCGTTCGGGTAAGTTTTTCATAATTAACTAATATTTGGTGAACGAAATCACATGCAATAACACGATATCTTTTGTATTGTATTATAGATGTTGTTTTGGACCGGAGTTTCTGAAAAACTCATCCCTCTCGAACTTCCAGGATGCAAACACATATGCACATTCGAAGAGTACAAAAATGCGATAGCTCATATTTTACCTGACAGTGGAAAAAAAAATTGTTAGACGCCCGCTTAAACCGAATAGAACGGTTATCTAAAATAGAAATAATTACTGTACAGTTTAAGTGATTTTTCTTTAAGAATTTTAGTAATACATTATTAACAAATGAAAAATAAGTTTTTAATTTTATAAACGAATAAAAATATATTATAATTATAACCATTGCAATATACTTTAAGAAATATCACTGAAATCTGAAACAATACGATTTCATCATCTGATTGAAAACGTTGGTTATATTTAATTCAAAAAATTGTGATAGTTTGATACACGAGACTATATTCGGGTTATCGATTGACTGACTGTTGTGCCTTGGCAATGCTGCTTTTAAAAAACTCAGATGAATTTAGTTAAGCATAATAATTTCATCAACGAGTATTCATCTTTTACAGCCACATTAAAATCTCACATTAAAATAGAAAAAAAAATTACTAAAGCGTTGGTTTTACACAAGAGCTGAAGCTGAACTCGTTATTTAATCTTCGTTGGTCACTTAACAAAACATCATACATTGCAAGACTGTTTATCGACAACTTTTAAAACCAACCAAAATATTTGAAACTATCATATGCGACTTGTGCCGTTAATCATGATAAAAATATTAAAAATTGAACTCTAAAGTCAGACTCTGCAAGTAAAAGATTTTTCACGAAAAATTCTGTTACTAAATTTTGTTTTAGAAAAAATATTTTACAATTTAATATTTTAATGAATGTATTTGTTAATCATAAAAAGCACTAATTATTATAATACATTGTAGAGTAGAAGTGCCTTCATCATATATATATTTTCTACAAAAGTTTCTTTTAATTTTGTGTACGATTTACATGACAAATAAATATTTTACAAAAAAAACGTCTGATTGTTCGAATTCATCTAGCAAAGTATATAAAAGATATAAATCAAAAATGTTTACAGATATCGAAGTGATCTTTATAATGATAGAACACTCATTACTAATGAGAATATAATTTCATAAATCTTCGCAATCATAAAAAAAAATTTATATATATGTAAATAGATTTTTAATGTTGATATCTTTATGATTGCAAAGTCACGAGCATCGTCCACGATTTTCTTATATATAAAGCTCAGTCAGTTACATTTACTGGTCAGTAGGAGTCTTCGAGTAACTTTCATTTCAATAAAATAAAGTGGCATTTCATTAAAAGCGAAAAAAGTGTTGATGATGAAGTTATCAAGTGTAGTCATATTATTTACTTTGATTGTTTATAGTGAAGTGTTTGCTTCTCCACTTGTTAGTTCAGACAAAAATTTGACAGTCGAGCTTGTGCAAGTAGTAAGTACGAGTGAAAAAGTGTCCATTCAACAAAACAATTCATCAGTCTTTATAGTTTAATGAAAAAATTATATCAGGTATTTAGGCATGGCGACCGTATTCCATCTCGAGGAGAAATGTCTAAAAATGATCCTTACGATGAACAGTATTTTAAACCGAAAGGTTATGGTCAACTTACACTGGTAAGCTCATTCATATCCATTTCAATCATCATATTAGTCGGCTCACGCTTTAATTAATTTGCAGAAAGGCATGAAAAGAGTATATGAGACAGGAAAAATGCTTAGAGATCGATACGGTGAATTTCTTGGATCTTACAAGCCCCAAGACGTCTATGCATTCAGCACTAATTTCGATCGGACAAAAATGTCATTGCAATTGCTTTTAGCTGGTTTATATCCTCCAAATCCCGAGACAATGTGGAATAAAGACATTCCATGGATACCAATACCAACACATTACTTAGACAACGATAAAAATTATTTATGGTTTGAGTGGTCTGGCCCTGAGTGTGTATTACAACTGATTTTAATTATTGAGAAGTACTTCATATACAAACTCGAAGAATTAATGATATTTTCAGATTCGATAAACATTATAAGCCAATTTTGGAGTCTGCAAAAATCACAGAGATATTGAATCGTTACAATCATGTATTGGAACACGCGCAGAACAATACGGGGAAACCCCTAGTCGGAAAAGGTCTAATTCCAACTATATATTTAACTAATTATCTGCATTCTGTTGTGCGTAAATTTTTCATTTTAAATAAATATTTATTATTTAATTTTTTTCAAATGATATTTATCTGTTTCTAGGTGAGTATGGGACTACCATTACCTGACTGGTGTTCCGAGGAAACTTTCCAAGCACTGCAAGAACTTGCTTCTCTTGCATTCAAGTCGCTATCAATGAGCAACCCTCTGGCCAAAATGACCGCTGGGCCAGTTGCAAACGTTTTGTTGAAAAATATACAGAACCACGAATCACAAAGAGACGAGAGAAAGATTTTCTTGTACAGTTGTCACGATAGTACTTTGGGTCGATTACTCGGAGCATTAAAAATTTCGAATAATCCTGGTTTTCCTGAATTCGCATCTGCAGTAATAACCGAAACACTGCGAGATGACGATGGCAAAAAATATGTCAGGGTGAGTCTTACAAAATAATTTAAAATTCATGAAAAATTATGCCTTATGGCAACTATTCATTATTTTCAATTTTTTTCAAATTCAGATGCTATTTTGGGCCGGAGTCTCACGAAATCTCATAAACCTCGATGTACCTGGATGCAATAGTTTATGTACCTTGCAAGAATACGAAAACGCGCTCAAAATTATTTTACCTGCTTAACTGTATTTTGCTTAGTAACATTATATCTGTGGTGGAAAGGCATAACGACTCAAGTCCATTTTTCGTAATTTCGAGAAAAACGCTTTTTAAGTTGATTGGGCCAGCCTAACTAAACGCGGACGAGTCGAGATCTGAACCTATGGTGTTTTAAGCTACTATGAGGTAGCTTTTCAACTATGTACATATGAAATTGAAAGGTGCATCATAGCGATGATAGGGAGCAAAAAATAAGGACTTGAGTCGTTTTGCCTTTCCACGGTTTGCACTTCAGTCCACTTTTGGCGGTCACACTTTTTTCAATATCGATAATTTCGCGCAGTTTGTTCACACAACCTCATTTAATGATTTTACATTGATAAGATAGCTCATTTAACGTTATACTGCCGTCAGATCTCAAATCTTGCAACGAAAAAAGGCCAAACTGAAAATCGAGAAAATTGCCCCTCGCGTATCAAATGTAACAATCATATAGTGTAATTCACAACATTCGAAGAATGTGAGAGTTATTTGTATGTACGAAATATCATTTTCTTTCATTTTCAAATAAAATTAGACTCTCTATAGCATTTTGAAGCTCGCAAAGGTGGACTTAAGTCGTTTTGCCTTTCCCCAGTCTTCGCGAAATGGACTTAAGTCGTTATGCACGATGCTGCAACTAACGTTAGACGCTATATTCGTCTATTCTGACCCTAGTACATTAAAATAGACGCTAAATATAGATGTTTTAGTAGAAAATCATAAAATCGATTTTTAAAAAAATGGACTTAAGTCGTTATGCCTTTCCACCACAGATATTATATGATAAGTATAATTTTGCTGCTCTAAAGCAAAGAAATTCATGTCTTGAATCAAGCAATTTTTTGAACTTTGAACAATTCCGAATCATTAATTGAGTAAAGAAGTGAACAGAAATATTCAATGAAACAAAAAAAAAATAAGACTAATTTATACTTGTTTATAGCAGTGACACAACGTGAGTTGTGATTACAAACCATAGCCATTTCGAGATGAGGAAAAATAATTGATAATTTGCACACCGATATCATATTATCATATTATATTTTTAAAAATCAATCATGTTTACTAATTTTTTGATAATAAATATGACAATTTTACATATTCTAATCGATAAAACAATCCATGATGACTGTCAAGTGATTTGTAAATAACTATTTGTCAATAAATGTGTCATTCTAAAATTTTTATCAGCATTTTATTGATCTGGAAACATATATTATGCGAATATTCGTAAAAATTTAAATTAGAAGGTACTGTAGGAACAGTTAGACGTGCAGAGTAAAATGTCACGAACGCTTAAATTATTTTTTGTCTGTATAAGCATCATACCGCTAATTCGCGGTCAAGAGGTAATTTATCAATTTCATTTTTTTTTTCAAAGAGCTGCGTTGAAAATTAAAATAATAATTTTTAGATACCACAATGTGGAACGAAAGAAGAACAAATGGAATTGAATGAAATCTATAATGGTAAGAAAGATATAATAATTATAAGTATTGTTGACTTAAACCAATAAATATTTTTCTATTATTTATTTCTGAAAGAAATCGATAAAGTAGACGATGCTTATACCTCGACTTCTCAACAAAGATCGATGGATAATCAACGAGTATTTTTTAATTACGCTACTTATTTGCGCGAACCCACGCAAGACCGAGTTTTATTAGGATCTAATAGTAAATTATACATCGCAAAATCAAATGGTTACGGTGCAATAACATACAAAACTTACCGTTACGTAAGTATTTTTTTATTTATTACTATATTAAAATATAATCAAATAATACAATTTTGAAATTTTCAAATTATAGCCGGAACCAAAAACTAAGACGTTAAATGCTCAAAATGAATATAGTAAGTTAATCAAATATATTTCAATTCAACTTGAAATGGAAAGGATAAAATTCGAATTTTATTTTTGTAGATTCTAGACCATCAAACTTAGGTTCAGATGTTGTGTATCCTCAAATATTAGCCATCTTAGATTATGATAATTACGAGTATGAATTGAATTACTTTTCCGAAGAACACACTAATAAATCCGATTCAATTTATAATTTTACATTATTTGTTTAGAGCATATGGTAAAGATGTCTACAAAATTACTCAGTCAATCGCAGGATTTTTCAATAATATCGACATTCGATTCCGAACCCTCAAAAATCCACAAGTAAGACTTCATCTGGCTGGTCTTGTTATTCCAACGGTATGTTCAAATGCATTTGAATTTTTAAAATTAAAAAGAAACTGTAACAATAGAAAATCTTACGCTGCTCTCGAAGGATCGTGATGCTGTACCCTATATGACAAATAATCTAAAAAACAATGTCAAAGATAGTAAACCTTTCGATGCAATGCATCAAGCTGGTGAATATTTCTTGGGAAGCTGGAATGGCGTCAATGGAATCCCTCGGGGCTCTTATGATATTATTGTGCTTTTGACGAAGTAAGTTTTGCACAGTTTTTTTATAGGTTTTACTTTAGTAATTCCCATTTAATTTTTTATTGCAGTAAGGATATGGATGCCTATGGTTGGGCTACGGTAACCGGAGCCTGTAACGGTGCTAAATCAGTTGCTATTATGACTCACAAAGCGAAGGGCGAAAACGATTATTGGATTGCCGCTGGCACCGCTCACGAGCTTGGACATCTGTAAAGAAATGATCATAAAAAATAAATACTCGCAATCATTATAAAATATCTGATGTATTTATATTTTTCATAGGTTTGGAGCACACCACGATGGCGATAACAGCGCAAAATCGTGCGATTCGAGTGCTGGTCACATAATGAGTGGAAATAGAGGCAAAAATGCTTTCACATGGTCCGAATGCAGTATGCGTGACATGAGAAATTTTCTCAGGTATTTAGAATGAAAAATTGCATCATTTCAGATTGTAGATTTATGAATACTTTAATTTAAAAAATTTAACGCAGATCACCACGCGCTAATTGTTTGCGAAACAAACCTTACGTGGGTAGGCCATACCCGCGAGTTTTGCGTGGCAGTTTTACAACTCGAGACGAGCAGTGCAAAGTTCACAATGGTTATGGCAATTTAAATTATGTCGCTTCAGTGGTAAGCCATTTTTCATTTATGTAATCGTTGTTATTGGATTCGATTCGACTGACACAACTATATTTTTCAATTTTAGAACGAAAATAATCAGCACGAGCAATGTTACATACAGCCATGCTCGTGGATTCGTTCTGCTAATCATGTAACAAAACATGACTTCCCTCTTCCTCCACTCGACGGTACAAGTTGTGGCGATAACAAGGTAAATAAAATAATAAAAGCGTTCATGTATGAATATTTAATACATTTTAAAAATTATTTAATTTATTTTTACTATTTTTTCACATAGATGTGTTTTGCTGGTCAGTGCGTCGTCGACAGAGAATAGAAATATTATTGTAGCAAAAATCACGTCTTCAGCACGAAGATGCAATGTTTAGTCAATTTATTGCCATTTTTATGCAAGTTTTATATCGTAACCAAAAAAATCAATAAAAATTCTATGTAAATCTCTATTTACTCTAGTGCATTTTCAAAGTATGAAAGTTACATTTTTCTATCTTGAAAATTGTATGTAATTTTCTTTATGTAACACGCATGTTAAACAGTAACATAGCAATATAGAGATGAGCGAAGGTTTTTGAAATGATGATAAAATGAATAGCAGTTTAAAACTTGTTGCTGCGAAGAGTCTCGCGCTTTTTGTATTGGTCGTTATTTGGGTTGTATGTTGGTTCCTTCTTTGCTGCTTCTGTATCTGTACAGCTGCTGCGATAGAAAATAATAAACGATCGAAGTTCAGTGAAAAAATTAATTTCCAATGTACGTACAATAAGTGCAATAAAAAACGTAAATGTAATTTCTATTGAGGGTTTGAAGTCTAAATGAATTCAATTAATTTGAATTATTGAATAATACCATAAAAACAATCATCGAAATAAGTATTACAGATAAAAATATATTCATTTTTTGCTTATTTAAAGTATTATTTTGACCCATATACAATCATTATGTGAAACTTTCGACGATTTTTTCCTTAATCGCAAAAAAAAACAAGTTTAGATAAACGTGGACTTCACACATGGAAAGTTTAAAGATCAAATCATTTGTGACCGGTTTATTTTTCGTTTATCTTAAATTTATTATTTCAATCTTGTGTTGGTCTTCATGATGGGGTGGCCCATAGGCCGTGCCTATAATCCGGCACTATTTCATTAGGCATAAAATGTTGCAAGTAAATAGTCTTAGCCGACCTTGAGGAGTGCAGATTTCCGCAAAGGAGGGCAAAACCTGTCGAAAATACTCAGAAATAAATCAAGACCACGTGAACACTTAGTTCACAAAGAAAAGTTTTTTCCAAGTATAGTACAATCTAACTCGGTATAACCTCTCGTACAGTATATCAGTGCCATCAGTGGTTATATCAGCGTTTGCAAACAAAACATCAGGCAACAGATCAGACAGGAGACAATTTAAATAACCCTATAGTTAAGCACTTTTGTACACGAGCTACTACCGCGGACACTCCGCTCTTGCAGTGCCTCGGCCGGGAAGGACAAATAAGTTCTCTTGGGACTGATTTCACTCATAAACGCCCGGAGAGTCGAAAAAGATTATTTTATTAAAAATTGTTAGACTACTGCGAAGTGTAGTAATGACGAGTGAAAATGAAGACTCAAGAGATAAATCATCATCGTCTGATGAAGAAGACGACGATTATATAGAAAGGGATGCACCTTTAAACTTTACACACCCGGCCCGATCGAAATGTCATATCGAGACGTGGGACGAGCCGCAGTGCGACGAAAAATGTCCCATTTGCGGTCGTTCTTTTGGAGAATCACCAATGGACTTGTGAAAAGTGGGGTAAGGTTTTGCCCTATATATTAATATAAAATTTCGTGATTGTATTAATCACAGATAAGATATGTGTTGAGCTTTTATAAAAGTATATGATTTAGAATACATTGTCTCCATACGTTAATAACTCAATAAAGATTTATTCTTCATCGAACGCTTATCGACTATATTTTTGTACTCTATATTGATTTGTACAATTAAAAATTAAAAAACAATTAGGAACATGTACATAAGTCTCGTCGGCGCGCGTACACAATATAGTACCACCATCACAACGTACCGTCGTATATGCAATTATCTACGTGCTAATCCTCGATAATCATGTCGCCCTCCAGCACCAGCTTCACCTTCTTCGGCTTTTTCACGCAGGTAAGGGGATTGGGCGACCAGGTGCCGTCGGCGAGGCAGCGCACGTCCTTGTAGGTCGGCTCGTACGTCACCTCCTTGACGAAGCCCTCGCGGCACTTGAGAGTCGCGACGGTGGTGACGGGGGCCGAGATGTCGCACGACACCGCCACGTTGTTCCAGACGCAGAGCGCCTCGGTCGACGACGTGCTCAACGCCGGACACTTGATCTCTGCGCGACATTTTAATATACAAATTTTATACAAAACGGCAAAAGAAAAAGAGGAAAGAAAAAAACTCGTGCGTTCGTGTGCGCTCGAACTTACGCTCGCAAGTGGGAATGCTGACCCATTTGCCCTCGGGTCCGCACAGGACGTCTCTGTTGCCGAGCAGGCGAAAGCCCGTGTCGCAGTTGTAGACGAGATAGCTGCCGGGCTCCATGCTGCTGATGCTCGGCGGGGCGTTGCACTCGCGGCCCGACTGACAGAGCGACCTGTGCAGTCTCCACCTGCCGTTGCTGGGTTGAGGAGGCACACGGCACGGCTGCATCTTCGATTGCTGATAGGATCCGGAATTGCCTCCATTGTTGTTGTTGTTGTTATTGTTGCTTCCGGTGTTGACGTTGTTGTTGGGTTTTTCTAGCGGCCTAAATCATAATAAAATTTACTACATCGAGTCTTAACTTTTAATCTTTCGAAAGAAGTAAAATATCGAAATCTGGAATAATCATCTTGATATTTAGCCACCATCCACTCGCGCGTCTTACCTCATGACGTTATTACCGTTGTTGTTGCTGGCGCCGCAGGTCGCCGCGGACTCGTCCGAGCCGTCGTTGCAGTGGCGCGTCCCGTCGCACTTGTAGCCCAGGTGAACGCACTGGCCCCCCGTGGCGCACTGAAACTGATTGGCCTGGCACTTGACCGCGAGCGGAGCGCCGCAGATGCTCGTGGCCTCGTCGCTCGCGTCGAGACAGTCGCCCCGGCCGTCGCAGATCCTGTTGCGATCGATGCACTCGCCGCTCAGGCAGAGGAACTCGCTCTGGGCGTCGCACGAGAAGACCTTCTGGGTGATCGGATTCTTCTGACCCACGACGGATGGTGGCTTTTGTGCTCCGGACACAGAGGGGAAGAGCAGGGATGATGTCCTTCGTTGGGTGGAAAATTTTTAGGAAGATTAGAGATGTATGATGGTTTCAAGGTCGAGGCGGTTGAAGTAATAGGTCGTTTATTATATATAGCTTATTACCTGTCGGTCGGCCTGACGGTCGTCGTCGATGGCCTAAATGTCGTCGTCGTCGTGGTTTGACGAGTTCCGTAGCAGAGGATGATGGATTCGTCGCTGCCGTCGTAGCAGTCGTCGCGATTGTTGCACACGTATGATTTGCTTATGCAGCGTCCGTTGTTGCATCTGAATTGGCTCGTTCTGAGAAAGATTGGCATTTTGGTCAGGTTTTAAGCTTCTTCGACAAAAAAAAAGGTCGATTATGTACTCACAGACAACGAGTGGCACGACTCTCAACGTCATCTTCCTCCTCGGACTTCTCTTTGCTCGGGTCGGGTTCACTATCGTCCACTATGGCGACAACTCGAGTCGCCACTAAACCCATTACCACTAAATATCCAAAAAGTTTCATAATTATGCAAAAGCGTAGCAACTCAAAACTTTGTGGTCGTACTACGGCGCTCGATTGAGCACTGGTTAAATTCGCTGCTCGTTTACGCAAAAAGATTTTTATTGAATGATGATTATTGGCAATCGTCTGAGGCCATAATACTCGGCAGGTTGAAACAGCTGGTGGACGACCGAGGATCGATTTCGAAGATTTAGAGATAAAAAAATTGAATTATTAGAAATTTACGAGAATCGGGGGAATTGTTTCCTTTAGAAATCTTCCGTAGACGTGTGAATTGTGATACACTTTGATGGGTGTTTCCGGTTCATTGATCAACGTCGAAATTCAAATAAAGAATAATTTGAGAGTTGTAATAATATTTTATCTCATCTTACGTTATGATTATTGACTTGTGCGTCAAAAATTTGGTAAACGTATCGAAAACGATTAGCTAACGTAGTGATTGGGAATAATGATCGAGGAAGTCTTGGGAATTTTAAAAATGAATATTTAAAAAATAAATTTCCACGCGCACTGAGCTTCGTAAGCTTCGAGCGATCTGCAAACATTGATGTTTTCTGTAAATAGTGCTCATAAAGTGAATGGTTCTTTTGATAATTTTTATTTTTGCGCTAAAATAAAAATACAAAATACTAAAATTAATTTATAAATCACGTATTCGTGCTAAATAAAATCAGTGCATTATTTAGTAGCTCTAGGAATCTACCTTTAAGTAAAATAATCATTTTTAGGGAACTTTGTTTATTGAAAAAATTGAATTTGAAGACTTGTGTCAGACTCTGGATCTAATTATTTTATATAATCAATGATTTTATGTGTATATTCAAGTGTTTTACGGGCACTAATTCGATTAAACAAAGTAAATAAATTTTTTGACAAAGTAACAAACAAAAAGTTGATCAATTTTTCTTAATAATTTCTAACGCAACATCGTGATTCTCATGGATTATACTGAAAGGAATGAAAATTAATAGACAAAAAATGTACTTCATATTTTTGTTTTGATTTATTGAAGAATATTGTTAATAATTGGCCTTGTGAGAATCGTGAATCAGTTACACACGTCTCTTATTGTACGAATACTTCGCCACATTATTACTATTTATGATTTTTTTCGATCATATTTACTTACAAAAGAAAAAACAAATCATAATTGTCCTGCAATATATATTACATAAAAAAATATCAATGAAAAATTAAATAAAACTCCTGAACGTCAAATGGTCACAGTAGAGTACTCAGCGCTATCACATTTTCAGATTTTGAATCCCTAGTGTTAAATAAATCTACGTTTAAATCATAATAATAGTATAATTCGAAAGTAGCAATTCCGAAAACTAAAATCGTTGTTGACAATTAGTATCCAACGCTTCAACGAGGTCTAATTTACCTACTGATAATTTTCTAATGAACGAAAACATCGATGTTATTTTGTCATCAGCTCTTAACAATTTTTTTTAAATAAACAAAACCAAATATATTGAATAATTATAAGTCACATCATAAAATAGTACGAAATATTATAATAATGTATTGAAAGGTGTTCTAAGAGAAAGTTTAATTGTCGCCAATTCATTTTATTCGAGATTACATTAAAAAATAACTTTATCTTTATTTACAACGAGGATTTTACAAAAGTAGTGTGGGAAACAATTGTTACTTGATTTTTAAAAGACGGAAGACCATAAAGTTCGCATATTTCATTACCCGAACAAAAAATTTAATAAAATGTTCGCGCAACAGTTGTGTTTTTTAAGTAAGACCTATCGTACTTAAAAAATAAAAACGAACAAACAACAACAAATTTACACAGAAAAAGATATATATATTGCAAAAAAAAACGTAATAACATTATATTTTATAATACAATAGAGTGTAGATTTCATTTTATCACATTTATCTATGTAATGAGAATGAGTTAATATTGCCATATTTTTTCATTGCTTTAACATAAAACTCAATAGAAAAAACAGATAATAGTTTTAACATAAATAAAATGGTTGTCTAATCCAATGTACAATATTTTAAGTCAGTAAAACACATATATTAATTTACCTCATTGAGATTTTTCTCATGTCTACGAACGAACATCACAAGTTCTATACGACTAAATAGAGATATTTTAAGTCTATGTCATATTTAATACGCCACGATTATGTATTTTCCCTTAATTGCGTCCTATTTTAATGTATTAATAGTTTCTCGTTTTTTCATTTCTCAATCATCATCGTACTTCATTTTAATATTTGTTGATCTTGGCGGAAGTCCAAGTTTTATCATTTCATTAATTCAAATAAAAACTTAATCATGCTATCATCTAAGATCTATAGTATTACATAGCATAATTGTTATGTTATTATATAAATCTAAATTCTACAAAATATTTCCTTAATTTATCTTTCATTATTTATTATAATTTTTTCCGATTGAACATTTTTTTATGGCAATTGTTATTTTCTCTCATTTATCACGTGAACTCACTGTCGCAGTCTCGGAAGTTGCATTTAATAGAAAGAAACGTTTTGTTCGGACTTTGCTAACAAAGAATCGACTTTTAAGTAATCTCAATTATTCGTTTATACATTGGAAGAGCTTTAAAACCTTTTTTGATGAATTTACAATTAAAATCGTCTTTTGAGTATACTTTTTTTATCTCATCTCATGCAAATGGGACTACAAAAAGCAACGTAAACAATGACATGCAGCTTAGCAACTATATTTACTCGATAACATATGATCAGCACGCTAAAAATATATTTTACAAAATTACAAATATCCTTTTATTACGGAGTTTACGTATACAATATCTATGTATATGACAACAATCTACGAGAACGTCATAATGAAGTACGGTGTAGATTTTTTTCTATACGCTGACGATCATCAGTTACAATACCGATTTCATCGGACGAGGATATTTTTTGTTTGCTTTCATTTTCCTATCTATATTTAATACTATTACCTCTTTCGTTCTCTCTTTATTTTTCATGCATACACAAAAACCAATTCATTCCGTCAACTTAGGCACTAAAAATTACTTTTGTTTAATTCATATTTTTTGTTTTTTGCTTCTGATTATTTTGTTATATGACTCGTAAGATATGCGATTTCCTTTTCCATTTTTGCTTTTCGTTCGAGTTTCTATATATACTCATATATAATTCCTAATATATTCATATACATATAATTCTCATTTTAGTCTATCTAAAACTGCTATCGCACGTCGTCTTCCTGTTACAAGTCAATCGTACGAATGTAAAAATTAGCGTACAAGGAGATAGACGCAACTGAACGGCTTATGGATAAATATTTGGCAATACATAATACGAAAAAGTACGTTGTATAATAATTTCGGCACATACATCTCGTACAGATGCGCGCGAAGCATGTGCCGCGGTATAAGTGTTTCATAGGAGGGCATATTTCGACGGCAACAGTTGAATTAATTGTAATAATCGATCAATTGACAATTGCTCGCCGCGGTCGTCATGTCGTTGTCGTTAACGACGTGCGCTTGAGGACATTGCTGCTGTTGCTTCATTATGAGCAGTTTTTGCTATCTGCTAAGTATCTGCGTCTGCTGCTGCTGCTGCATCTCTCGATTGTTGTTGTCGGGACTGGTGGCGGTGCCGTTTTGCTGCTGATGACCGGCACCAGCGCTGCCGCCACTAGTCGCGCGTACCGGCTTCAGGCACTTGAGCTTGGTCGTGCCGCCGTACGTGAAGTTGACGTCGCTGCAGGTGTCCAGCGGATGCATCGAGCCGGTGAGGTTCGATATCGACTCGGACTGCACGTCCTCGAGCTTCGTCGTCAATATTTTCTTTACGCTTCCTGTTGATATTAATTCAACTGATTAAAATGATTCATCGCTGGGTTAAATTGACGACAAGGAAAAAGTACACTTACCTAGCTCGTAAGCTGACTTTGAAGACTTGAGAGGTATTTTTGCGTTTCTTGGTAAAGAAACAGACTTCTCCAACGAACCGAAAGCGTTGATCTTCAAATTGGAGTCAGGATCTAGCGTAAGAGCCCCGTTCGCTGGCTCGGACTGTTGCTGCTGCATCGTGTCCGTAATCTGTATGTCGATATTGACGGTCTTCGGGTCGTTCTCGTCGTTGGCAGGAACAACGATGCCGCCTTGATTGACCTGCTCGTTGCTGCCAGCCGGGCCGTCCCCCCTTCTCAATTCGCGCTGCTGCTTGATGTGATTGTGCGAGTTGGCGAAGAAGGACGAGAACGACTTCTCGAGCTTCGAGCCGAGATTCGGCTGGCTGAGCGCCGACTTGAGCGGATAGGGCGTGCCGATCATGCTCTGGGTCTTCATGAGTCGCGAGTCCTTGCCCGTGCTGTTGCTCTTCTGCATGTCGTACTTGCTGTTGTTGTTGTCCTCGGGTATGCGATTGGGCAGGGTGCGCAGATTGTTGTTGCTGCGCCGCTTCTCCGCGGTCATCAGCTGATTGACGATGCGCCGCACGTCGCCCGGTATCTCGACGTCGACGCCCTGGTCGATCATCTGCTGGATGAACGAGCCCATGGTGAAGATGGTGACCTCGAGGCTGCGATTCTGCGACTCGAGCCGGTGCAGCGTCGCCAGCTGCTGCTTGCGCCCGGCCTCCTGGTGCTTGATGTTGCGCATGGCGTCGTCGAACTGATCCTGCAGTTGCTGATTACGGACGAGCAGCTCCTTGTTCATCGCCTCGAGCTTCTCCATGTTCTCGATTTGAGGCTTGACCGACAGCATCTCCTCCTGCAGGACTTGATACTCGACCCGGTACTCGTTCAATTGTTTCGCCATCTCCATGTCGGGATAGAAGACTCGCTTCATGACTCTGTCCAAGGTATTGTTGTCTACAGCTGGCACTTTGGTCTGCAAAGCGAGTAATCGATTGAATTGTCTGTATCGAGAGAAAGAAAGTATCTAGCAGCGTCGGACGTACCTTTAAATATTCCATGATTTCTTCAAAACTGTCGCATATCAACAATTGATCTTGATGCTCCTCGAGCAAAGCAAGAGCCACGCGGAATATAACTTCCGATGATTCAAGAAATAGTAAATCTGTCAAAAATAACACACACATTTATGACGGTTCGTTCGGAAAATGTATCAAGAACAAAAATAAATCGCTGCATACGAACCGAAAACTCTGGTAACGAAACCCAGCGGGAATTGACTAGCGAAAATTGTCAAAAGCCAAGACGTCGCGTACAAAGTTGGCGAGACCTCGTGTTTGTCGAAATGACTGTAGACGTCGGGCAGTCTGTCGTGCAGCAATCTTGACAGCTGATAAAGGTGCAATTGCAGCGCCGCCATGTCCGGCAGGTAGAGTTTCCTCAGACCTCGTCGGAACATCAAGTGACGCAGAAGGAAGAAAGCTTGATCCTCGGACATCTGCGACAAGACAGATCGGAATTACGAATGAAACGCGGTTCGGTAAAAAATTTCGTATATTTGTGTATATAACGTGCGACACTCACGTGCAGTAACAGTACAGCGGCGACGAAGCTCAGACCCTGACAGTACTCGACCTCGTGGTCGAGCAGCGAGTAGGCTTTGAGCAGATTGAAAAGGGCCAGCTGGCCCGGCCCCAGCGGCGAGCTGTAGTACGGATGATTGGGAAAGGTGCGGCCGAGATCGATGAGGATCGCGTGCTGCTGGGACGTGAGCTGCTTGAGCAGCAGCTCGTACGGCGTGTTGTAGTTCGGGAAGTCGCGGGTGTCGAGGGGCGGCTGCTTCATGCAGAACTGCTCGGCCAAAAATTGCCAGACTTCGCCGCGTTTGCCTCGAGGTACGCCTGGAAGAGATTAAAAGAAATAAATATTAAATTAATTAATAGAACTCGAAATGACGCGAGTGCATGAAAAAAGATCTTTTCTTTTTTATCTAATCGTCATCGTAAAGAAAAAAACAAGTACCTTGTTTGATAGCTTGTAGTAGCATCTGATTGTCGCATTTCGTCGATACCCTGGATTCTTTGCTAACGAGCAAATCCCAGACTTCGACTAGTTGGCGATTGCAACTACTCAGCTCGTCGTATTCCAGCTTTATTCTTTTCACCGTGGCCTCCTCTTGGCGAACTGCACGAGAAAAAAAATTTTATATCGATCGTTCAAAGTAAGCCATCTCTTTATCTATCGTATCTTTTCCGCCTCTCTTTTTTTATTTACCAAACATAAAAAAAAATAGGACCAATATGTAAAATTAAACCTACTTCGCAATCGCGCGTTCTCCTTCTCCATCCTGATGAGGATCAGCTGCTGGTTGATGGCCTTCTTCCACATGGCGCGCAGCTCCTCTCTGCTGCGTTTGGCCGGCGCCGCCTGCTGCTCTTGATTGATATTGTTATTGTTGAGATTATTGGCGTTGTTCTTCGTGTTGGCGTCTTTGTTATCCTTATCTTTGCCCGGCGTGACGACGCTGTTGAGAATGGCCTGACGCCAAGAGCCGCTTTGTTGCTGGCCTGGCCTGCTCGCGCCCTCGCCGCTGCTCTCGGGCGGCGACATTTTTGGTGAATTTCCAACTTTCAAAAAGCTACATGGAAACAAAGACGTGTCACCCCGTTTTTTTCTTTATATACTTTATGTTAATGAAAAGACAAGAAGACTCACATGTCCATCATCGGACTCTTCGGACTGGCCGTCGTCAGGCTGATCTGCTGCTCCGGCGAGACCCTGAGCGAGCGCGGCCGCTGGGACTCCGGACTGAGATCCACCATGGACGCGTTGGACGAAGCGATTCCGCCGTTCGATCCGCCCGTGGGTGTCACCGGACTCAACAGATTCGGCTTGGTGCCGTTCATACCTAGCTGGCCGCTCAGGCCGAAGTCGTCCTTCGAGCCCTTGCGCTTCATCAGATGGTCGAAGCTGTTAGTGAGCGAGCGCTTAGCCTTCATGAATATCGTGCTGCCGACTCCGACGCTCAGATACTGGTTCAGAAATTCGCTCCTGCGGCGGACAGAGAAAAAAGTTGGGGTTGAGGTGAGGAGCTTACACGAACACGGAGCTTTGAAGAAATTCAAATTGCATCAAGCGGAAGTCGTAGTGTATATAGCATTCATAAATATCGAAAAACTAGGCCAGTAGCGCATGATATAGTAAAAAGCGTGTACATCATATGCGACGTATATTACATTTTATATATTTAATTCACATACGTTTCAGCCACATCAGATACAGTACTGTACCTGTTCTCGGCGGTATCGTGCACGTGTCGCATCTGCTTGGCCTCGCAGTGAGCCCGCAGCAGCCTCATGAGAAACTTGTTCTGCTCGTTGAGGCTCGCGCCTGCGTCGACGTCGTTGATCGACTCGGCGCCCTTGTACTTGGTGACGATGATCACCTGGTCCTCCTCGGGCAGCATCTCCAGCCGCGAGAATATGATCGACTGGACCCGGGTGGCGGGCTGCGCCTCGATCTCCTGCACGAGCTTGCTGTACCAGACCATGGGGCAGTGCTCGCACGAGATCACCGGGCGCTCCTTCATCCGGCTGCCGCTGGGTTGTCCACTGCTGCTGACATTGACGACACCGCCACCGCCGCCGAGTCCGTCGACCGAGGCCATGAACGCCTGGGTTATGGCGCCGACGAGCTCGTCCGCCACCGACTCGGATTGGCACTTGAAGATGAAGCCGACGAAACGATCGGAGCCGCCCCCGGCGCCGTCGCGACAGATGAAGCCGAAGTGCTCGGGGTTGGCGACGCCCTGGACGCAGCTCGCCACGTCGCGCAGCTGCTTGTGCAGCAGCACCTTCTTGCGATCTGGACTGATGAGCCGGAGATCCAGGCGGCCGACCTAGGGGGTGCGAGTTTATCATATATAAGATACGTGTATAATAAAATAGCGTACGGAGTCTAGGCTGGTGTTTCCGAGTGCTCCACATAACATAGCTCCCTTCGCGCGCGCGAAGAGGGCCGATCGCGCGATACCGCGCCAGTTTACGTAATATCATATACACACATACACACACGTGCAGCAGCACATTCATGCACATCGAACCGTTTGTGACCCAGTTTCTCGCGCTAGTCTACCGCACCAACCCCGGGGTGGTGAGCGAGCGCCGATCAATTTTCATATATTCCTCCTCCTCCGCCATCAGCAGCTCACCTGGAACAGCATGGTGCGATTGAGATCCTCGTTCTCCCTGACCGACGAGTCTCTGCGTTGCTGTGCCGCCGTGCTCATCATCATCACGTTGCCGGTCGAGGCGGCGCGATTTCTCGTGGTGGCCATGGCCGCGTCGGCGCCCGGTGGCATGCTCAGGGTCTTCTTCGGTATCGGTATGGTCTGCGGTGGCGGCATCATCATCGTCTGCGACGTCGTCGTCAGCTCCGCGGGTGTCGTCGTCGTTATTTCGAGAGAGCCGGGCGTCGTCGGCACCGCCGCCGTTGGGAACGAGGGCGACGTGACGATAGTGGGCGACGTGACGTTCTCGACGCTGCCGAGATCGCTGCCGGTACTCGAATCCTGGAAAAATAAATAGATCGAATCCATTAGGGATTGTGTACGAGATGTTTCGTTAATGACGAATTTAATTCGCCGACCCGACGAACTCTTTATAATAAATTCACGGAAGGCTCGAAATCAAATTAGCGCTCGAGTCTAGGCCGCGTTTGATATCGACGCGGCCCAGAATCGGAGCCGTTAGTAATAATCGATGTTGTACACATGTGTCTCGTAGCCCTCGCATCCGGAGACGCGTACATCATATCGTGTGCGATTGTTACGTATAAACACGACAGCAACTGTCACATGCATGTTATAACGGATAATAATTATAATAGAGAGACACGCTGTGACCGACCTGGCTGTCGCGTCGGATGTTGGCGAACAGATTGGAAGCGCTGGATTGCTGCCTCAGCTGGTGGCAGTCGCTGAGCAGGCTACCGGCCGACGATTTGGACTTCTCGAGACCGCGCTGCGTCTGAAAGCGCACGAGCACGTCGTCGATGAAGGACTCGGGCACCTTGGCGTGGGCTATCCGAGTCTTGCCCACGTACAATACCTGTCGATAAATAAAAATAAATAAAAATTGTTATTTTTCATTCGAGCTTAATCGAAGCATTTATAATGAAATGTGTATAAAAGCTTCGTTACGCGTATACCTCGAAGAAGTGCGACGAGCTCGGCGATATGTCGGCGATCGACGTGAGGGCCGCGGCGCTGCTGAGCGATCGCTGCGGCGCCTCCCTCATCATGCTGCTCTCTCGGGCGCCGTCGGTCCGGTCGAGCGTCCTCGACGACGACGACTGCTCCTTCATGGCGCCGAACAATTCTTGCACCTGCAACCGAAAAGTAGCGAGAGTTGCAGTGAAAATCGTGAAATAAATACGTGATTTCGGTGCGGGGGATGGTGCGCGTGGATCAATATGAAAGCACTTCGGGTCCATTAGCGCGCGCGCACTCATCTACGTGCTTCTCTCTCGAGCAAGCGAGAGTACATAATTAACCATTAATTTTGAAAAAACTTCCATCTTTCACTCGAGGTAAATGCACGTACAATTTATGCTATATTTAATACATATATTATTTCGAAGCGAAAAATCCGAGTCGCGAGACCTAAAAATACCGGACTCGTGCTCGAACGAAGCACGTTTCTCCGACACACACACGCGCTCACACATCCATCCGAAACTGCCACTTAACTCGCATGCACGATAAACCAAGCAACCAAGCATCCGTTGCAGCAACGACGAAAAGAAAAAAAAACGAATACAGGTGTGTGGGTAAAAAATGTAGCTCGAGTGTTTTCTGTACATCGAGTCTATTCTCTTTTCAGAGGTTCCACACACACACAGACACGGCGCAACGCAACGCAACACCGGGAGGACAGAAGGTCACAGGTCGGTAATGAACCAGATAAAAAAATTTTCTTCTCTTTGTGTGCACAATAGGGCTCTGTCCGTGTCGATATTTGCCCGCCCACGCACATGCTGATGCACTCAAACGCAAACACACACACAGATGGGGAGCTTTAGCGACTACTTTTTTATTTGCAAGTACAAGCATTTTTCTTCCGACGCCTGGGATAATTGGATCTTCAACTTGCAGCACGCTGGCTCTTTCGCGCGAGCGCACACACACACACAGTACACACACATATATAAGGACGATATTCGCTCGCGCGCGAAATTCTCAAGGGTACGTTACGAGCTTTTCGTATAATATATATAAGACGGAGCCGTACGAGATGTAATTTGGGCTCGTCTCTATCTCTCTGTCTCGTGTGCTTTTGGGAATTGCCAGCAGCAGCAGCAGCCGCAGCTTGGTGCACACGACGGTACCCAACGGCGCCTCACCTACTTAGTCCCTCGACTGTGTGCACGCCGCGCGTCTTGAATTATGTTGCTCGCTCGCGCGTCGTATCATCAACATTTGGATGAGCTTTTAGCGTTGTTTATTCATCGTTGCGCTATCATCATCTCCCTTGACTGGAAGGAGGATGCGTTTTCATTTTTACTCGAATCGCGGAGGAAAAATCTTTTTTTAAAGCGTAGTTTGAGTGAAATCGAAATCTGAAACAGAGCGAGGGAACGGCGATTATTTTACGACCTTGTTTCTCGGTGGAGCGTGAAGAAAAAAACCGAAATAACAATTTCACGTTTATTCGCTCGTTGATGAACGCGCTCCATTCGTGTATGAATGCGCGCGGTATATACGTGTATCAAGGAGGAAATGAAAAATGTAAGATGAGATTTTGCAATACGTGTAAAGTCCGACCAATCCAATCCAAAAAAAATTATATATAAAAAAAAAGAAACGACCCGTGTACACATTTTTTCCATCGTTGAGCAAATAAGAAAAAAAAACACATTATTCGCCACAGCAGTAACGAAGGTTTGAAAAATATAAAGAAAAAAAGATGCTCGTAACGAGAAACAGATCGAGCTTTCATTAAATCAGCGAGTGGAGCAGCAGCACCATCACCAGCAGCTCTTTTTTAAATCTTTCGCCTCGCGTAGTCCGCAGCAGCTTGGTTCTCGCAACGAAAAATAAAAAAGAAAAAACAGAAATGAAATAAAATAATTTGATTACCACGTCGCTGCGCGCGAACTGCGTAAGCTCTCTTTTAACCATATTCAAACGATTAAGGCGTATACAACGCAGGCAACACACATACGTTGCACATTTAATTGCGCTCGTTATAAAATTAGAATCGCGGCAAGTGCGTATTAAAAAGCGACGTGCGATATGTATAACACACGTTCGAATTCGCTCGATCGTCATCGTACTGTGTGTACGATTGGCTATAGTTTATTAACCTCGACTGCGGGCGGCAATTGCAATCAATGTAGACGCATAGTTTGTACGTGTAAAAGCGCGCGAAACGTTACACAATTTGCTTTTTTTTTCAAACGCGAGCAATAATAATGATTCCACCCTCGTCAGCAAATTTTAAGCTTCGAGTCAAGAAAAAAGAACATAATATCTCGGACGTTTATAATCGTCGATAAAAATCTTAGAAGAGCACCTGACGCGTATTGTGTGTACAATAACATTAGCAGCTCGCGTACACACACATACACACGCGACATTGCGCGCGCGATGATGGTTCGTCGTCGTCGGGGGGTCCCGCGGGCTTCACCTATATCCAATTACTTCTCTACCCTGCGCTGCCGTATACATACAATACATATAACGTGTCTGTCTGTGTGTGTGTACACGCGCGTCCGTAAAGCTTATCACTGTATTATCGGGCATCAGCGACCGGCAACGACTCGACGCTGTACAAATAATAATGACGTCAGTTACTGCTGCTGCTACTACTACCTACTGTATATACTTTGTGCCCGGCGCACACGAATAGAATGTTTGTTGGGCCGGTGTATAATAGCCTGTATATGGGTTATTCGCACATACAGCACAGACACTTATTTACGAGAATGGAAAAAGTTTTGAATAACGATGCGCGCCGAGAGAGGAGGCTATATTATTGATTTTGCCGTATTATGAACGCAGCCGTCGTTTACTCTTGCGGAGAGAGAGAGAGAGAGAGCCTCGAGAAGTTATAAGCCGATGATTGGTCAATCGCGCGATCTGTTCTATTTTTCTTTCTTTTTTTTTCATAACAAAAATAAAAGTGGTTCGCAGCAAAACCAAAATAAAAAAAAAGTGAATAAACACGCAATGTAGCATTTTTATTCTCCGCGAGCGGGATCGATTGTTTGCGTTTCCCGCTCGCCTGAATTCCGCACAGCGCGAGCGCGCACACAGTTTCATAAAGCATAAATTTAAAATTAAAATAAAGTGATCGAATCGTCGACGACGCGCAACAACGAAAAAACGCCATCGGTCGCTCGGTAGCCACGTGCTGACTCGTTAGTTTTTCTCTCGTCTCGCAACAACATCAACAACGGCAACAAATTTAATTTAGGTTACGTCATTAAAGAGGCGTCAAAGAGGATCAAACAATTTTTTTTTTATGAAAAGAGACGTAAGGAAAAAAAGTTAGCGAGAAAAGATGGATCGCTGCTGTATACACTGTGAGTCTGTGCAGCACACTCGGCACGCACGCGCCAACGCGCAAGCTCGGCTCCGCAATCTCCTTCTCTCTCTCTCTCTCTCTCTTTTCAGCCGCACGTGCGCGCATAAAACCGTATACATGTCTATAAGAAAGCGTACGTACGCACGAAAGAGACGACGACGACGACGAAAATAAAAGACCTTCGTCTTCGTGCACGACGCCGTAAAACTCTAGACTATTTACATGCACTCACGCGCCTTTCGCAGCAGCCACAGCAGCAGCAGCAAATAATAAGATTGTGTTAGTGCACAGCGAGCTTGCAATAGAGAGCTTTATTGTCCTGTCTCTCTCTTCTCTCGCTCTTTATCGGTATAATACACAAAGATGCCAGGCGCGCAGCACGTTTCGGAGCGAAAACTTTTCAATTATCGGTTTTAATTTCGAGCGATCGCTGCGGTCGAGGAAAACGATTCCCACACAACGTGAGCGAGCCGCGTTGAAAATTGCAAATGAGATATTTATATCGCGTATTTAGAGGTGCAGATAGACGACCGCTGAGCGCACGATGTCTGTATCAAATTGAGTTATACGCGATTTTTTACATCAATTGAAAATAAAAAATTTTTAATGAGTTATCCTGTTAAAATGTCACGTAAGCGGCTGGCAGCGGCCGCGCTTATTCCAGCTTTAATCAACTCTCGAGCCTTAATCTAGCGAATAAATATTCTTCTAATTAGATTACGTACCACACTAACTATATAACTCGCTCTCGGTTCGTACTCGAAGTATGTGTAACTGAAAACGTAATTGATCGATAGGCGCGCGGGCGCGCGCGTAAAAACTTGCATCAATGGTGTGCGGTTTAAAAAAGTTGGCGATGTAGGAAGCTTTTTGTGTGCGTTGAAAAACTTTGCGAAAAGTTATCGTGCATTATTCCGTCGCGTTGAAAAAAGTTGATTTTTCACGTTAGAACTCGGCGGAGCAAGCTTCATACATAATGCGATCGATGATGAGAGAGTTTCAGAATTATTAGCGTTAACTCAATCAGTTGGTCTGGATAAAATTAATCCCGAGGCGTGACTTTTGCAATGTACGGAAAATACTGTAATTTATTCATTGCACCAAAGCTCTTCCCTTCTTGCTGACGTCGTCGTCGTCGTCGTATTTTCAATCATCGTCTCAAATTGCGTAAAAAGCTCCGCACGCGAACACGCGCCGACCGGCTGATAGCCGCGTATGCTCCCAAGTCGCAAAGACAACAACGCGGACAGCTGGAAAATATATATTATCGATCGATTAAGACGCTAAGGATCACTCAAGGATCTCGTGCTACTTGATTTTTATGTACGAATCGAGTCTTTGTCTCTATACTCGATGCCAATGTCGTTCTCGTTTAGATTCGTTATAGACAAAGAGAAATGATTACGCGTTTTTTTTTTCATCTTCTGGAGCCCGGAACGGGATGTGTGTGCGCGGCCGTGAGAGACGACGATCGAGAGATTGTTATTTTATTTATATAACGACGCGCGACGATCAAGATCTATTCGTATTTATTATGTCACGTGTATAAGTAAAGGATAGCGAGCGCACGCGAGAAAAACTAATTCCTCGCAGACGGAGAAATCGTGTGAATTTTTGCGACTCGCAGACAATTAATTAAGATAATTCGAAAGCTTTTACGGCTCGATAATCGTATCGCAATTAGCGAATCGGTCGTAATTGAACCGCGCGCGTGTGTTAGCGTGTGAATCACAGTCGCGCGCGACGTGTTACACATACATTACATACGAACGAACGAACAAAAAAAAAAATTGCGTG